GATAAATTCAAACTGATTCCTCAAACAGATTTTAACATTGTCATAACAAAATCATGTTGGTTTGGTTTTGGGGTGGGGTTTTTTTTTTTTAATTTTATTTTTAACTGAGGCATTCATATCTCTATGAAAAGAAAGAGGTTGGATTAAAAAGTAAGAGTGAGCCCCACCTTTTCTCACCAGGAAGAAAGCATTTGCTTGATTCCAAATTATCATTAGTCAGAGGCATAATATGCACCTTATACCTACAATTATCATTTGCACAATTTGTATATACGAATCTACCAGTAGCACTTTTCAAAGCACTTATAAAAAGAAGATGGAGACATGGACACAGAGAACAAGTTAAGCTCCTCAAGCCAAGACATGCTGAACAAACAGCAGGTGAAGATTTCTACACAAAGTCATCTGTTCTTACTTTCAGAGTGAACAGGCTCTCATAATTTACAGCTTAACTTCCAAGTGTTTTCATAATGTGATATAAGTTACACCTACACAAGCAGTCCATCCTATAAATGTCAAGGAAATTGGAAATAGGAAAGAAAGAGGATACGAAACATAAGAAAATCCTCTTTTTTTAATATATTCCCCTAAATAGTATATATAGTTACATATACTAGTTAGTGATATATGTCTAAGAAGACAGAACATCACCACTGCATGGATAAGAAAACACCAGCTCGTCATGAAAGGAAAACTTAAGCCTGTGGGGAAGAAAAGAACCAACTGCCACAACCCCACTCCTGGCCCCAACATGACATTTCCCCCTCCAAAATTCTCTTTGAAGATTTAGTCTTTTCACCAGCATTTGTTTCAGAAGCCTTGAGACATGACAAAAACCTCATTTCAGAAAACCCAAGTGTAATAACAAGCCTTCCTCACCTCTTCTTGGATGTACTGTAGTAAAAATGGAGATGCTCTCAAGTTATCAACTGGAATATTGAAGAAGCCCTGTATTTCCTTCTGATGTAAATCCATGGTAATGAGATGAGTTAGTCCTTTAAATAAATAAATAAAATAAAAAGACACATGGAGAAGCACATCAAGAAAAATAGAGAGAACAACAGACACAGTTTTTATTTCTCTATTAAGTTGAACCGAAGTTTGTTGAGAACAAAATCTCTGAGCTGCATTAGAAGAAGAATACTATCATTTGTGAAGGTACGTAGCATATTAACGATGTCCCTCTTACACACACTATCATGTTTCAAATTTTGACAGTGTTCTTCGTAAAAGAACCCGAGAACACCACATAATTGACTCAGTAGTGCCACACTGAGGCAGGTAAGATCTTCCTCCATTCAACATGTGACAAAATGGAAGCACTAAGAAGATAAATTGTCCTACACCACACAGCAAGACCCTGGCATAGCTAACATTAAGAGTCCTGAACTCCTGAAAAATGGGCCCAAATTCTAATCATTGACACACTTCTCTCAAAATAAGAAAGCAGATCACAATGTGTTCATTGTAACTGCTCATTTTTTTCCCCAGGGACAGGAGCAAAAGGAAAGGAGCAGAAAAGAAATGTGTTGAAGGCTGTGAAAATGAATAATCTCATTCTCCCACATCATCTCAAATGTAAAGGCCAGATACAAAGTGCATTCATCCAACAGGTAAAAAAACAGGCTAGAAATGACAAAGCACAACTGTTCACGAGTGTTAGAAAAGCAAAGAGCAGTATTATGAGAGATGAACACCATGGCCCAAAGCAGCAGAGTCCAGCAGACTCATTTTGCCAGCTCAGTAGGACACAACGCAAAATGGCTGTTACAAGCTTGGGGTTTTTTTTTTGAACTCATCATTTGGAAGCATTTGTAATTACATTCTCCTTTCTACGTGGGTTTTAAATTCACTAAAAACTCAGTAATTATTTTTAAACAGAGTTCAAACTTGTGCACAGCCCTCTCTAAACCTGAAAGCTGACAGCAGGAGCCCCCATCGCCCTGATTATTTTATAATAACCTGCATTCTTACCAGCTTTGCACATCATTGAAGCCAGTAATTTAGAGACAATGGAGCCCCTTTTCCTCATCTTGCACTGTTTGCTGTATGGGAAGTAAGGAATCACTCCAATAATGCTTTTGGCACAGGAGGTTTTACAGGCGTACACCATGATCAGGAGTTCCATGATCGTAGTATTCACATCCCTGGAACAAGAAGCATCTAGTTCTGTAGCTCGTGCATAGAAATCCTGCATTCAACACAACATCTGAACCCGCTCCAGGAATTTCACTCCAGGGTAGTGGAGAGTACAGTGACTGAGGGACCTTCACTAGGAATCCAGCTGTGCACCTCAGGACAGCAACTGCCTGGACCCAGCATTTTAATTCTTCCCTAAAATTACACTTCCATTATTTCTTTCACTTGGCTTTTTTTGGCAATTCAGCAGTTTTTGTTATGCCATTATCAGGCTTTCAGTAATACAGCATGTTGCTGTAATGAAATAGTCCATAATTTACTTCCAATATCTATTTCTATTATGAATAAAACAAAATAGGTATATTTTTCAATATACATAAGCTTTTTTAAAAGAAAAGTTTCAGATTTTACAACATAATCCTCTACAGTCCAAGCCAACAGCAGGCTAAATATTTAACAATCACCATCTATTTTCTGCCATAAATTAAAAGATTGAGAAGTTACTTTTTCAGGTAAGAACTGGTCATGAACTGAGAGACCTTCTATTTCTGTTGCCATTAGAAAAAAATGACTTAATATTTGTAAAGTTCTTTCCACATAAAAAATAATTTAAAAAAAAATTGTTTTCTGAATCATGGGACACATTGTCTAAGAAATGCTCCTCCTACATTTAGAACTTTGTAATGGTGCTGGAGATGGGGTAGCTGAAAAGGGAAGAATTTAAAGAGATTGATATAAGCAAAAGAATGCACTCAGGGAAAGAATGCAGAGACCCAGGGGAAGGCTTCACTGAAAATGACAATAACAGAGGTTAGCTTATACTGGAGTCTTCTTTGTGTACATATCAAAAAAAACCCCAAAACAATAACAAAAAACCCACACAGAGAAACCTCTATCTAGTTAATCTAAGCTGATTATTCTATATCATATACATAAAATGCAAAGAAAAATCAAAACAGAAGCATTCCTATGGACAGTCCATGTCAGACAGAGCGTCTTTAAACCGTTACTCACTTTGAAACTGTTTGGATGATAAATACATCCTTTCCTCTCACAGACTCCTGAATCTGCACTCTTGTTTCTGCCAAGAAGAGAAATATGTAATATTTGCAATAGCAAAACTCAATAAAGTCTAAGAAAAGGGTGGCCAATACACACAGGTCATAATTAGGTAAGTTTCCAGTTTTGTCAGTTAAACACTCACCTCTGTTTGGCTCTTGATAAACCTGAACCTTCCCCATCTCAACTCCTAAGCGCCTGCAGGAGGGGAAAAAAGAAAACCAGAAGTCAACATGAGAAAAATGAAGGGAAAAACAAGTGCAAAGTCCACACAATGCAGCAGACACAGAAAAGGTTGTATTTCACAGGTGAAAAGAAAGAAAAGGAAATCCCAAACCATAAAGCCAGTAGTTATAGTGGAAATCTCTGAACAAAGCATCTATAGTTTCCAGAAGCTGCACTGTGCACTGAGCTGAACTCATTTCAAATCAAGTTCAGAAGAAGCAGCAGCAGCAAAGAATAATGCTTCATTACTAAATTATGTCATAATTTAATATATAATTCTAGATAGGTTATATATATTTTGCCATATATATTTATATACACATGGCAACATAAACATGCATAATACTTAAAAAAACACTTTTAAATAATTCTTCTATACAGAAAAAAATGCCAGTGTAGAGTGAAATGGAAATAACAGCAAGCTCTATTTGATGAATAATGCAAGACTAATGCCTGCTGTTTTTTTCACTCCAGCATTAGCATAAACCCCCACCACTAAAAAAAGATGCCCTGCACTTAGGCCCATGTCCTTGCAACATGTAACATCAGCTCCTTTCCGTTCTCCTTTCTCCTCCCATTTCTCTCTCACTTTGGGTACGCAATCCTCGGGAAGAAACCCCTCGTTTGCAATGCTCCTGGCAACGTTACACATCCTAATACTGCTACAGCAGCATGGTAAAAGAATTCTGAAGTCATAAAAGTTCTGCTGAAGCTATTCATGCATTTAAAGCTAAACAAGTGTCCCCATCTAAAAGATACAGTGATCAGGACGGACACAGCTTTGCCATTTAAGAAAACTCTGCTGCAAGGAGAACAAGAAAACGATAAAAACTTCTGCCATGGTTATCTAACACTATCTAAACATTAATTCTCCCCACGTGTTCTCTACAACATTCCGCAGCCAATCACAACCTGCCACCCAATGATTTAAACACGACTTATTTTCTTTGTTATTGATCTGTTGAAATATGTTGTGTAACACAGTACATTAGATATTCCTGCAAATCGTGGCAGTTTCCTACATAACTTTCCTTAAACAGAGAAATCAGCCCCATCACAATAACACCCGGATCCTAAGGTGTCCTGCAGGATTTTACTCACTCAGCAATCCTCTTCGATAGTTCCATGCACGAGGAATTGGAATTAGCTGAAAACAGCACCAGTCCACCCTTGGTTATATTCATGATGGCCCCAAATTCAGTTGATGGCACACAAAACATCAAACCTTAAGTTGTTTTTTCCACTTCTACAAGACTGCAAGAGATCAAAGGTCTGTTAAAGTCACAACGTTAAAAACAAAGAAGAAAAACTGTCTCTGTTTAGAAAGTGAAGAGTTTCCCATAAGCCTGGATTTTCCACAATTACCAACACTTTAACAGTACCAGGAGTATATCCTTCCAGTGTGTTGTGACCCATAAGCCACACCATGTACCAACCAAGCTCAACAGATCTAACAAGAAAGGGGCTTCAGCCTGCTTTGCCTTCCTTCTGCCCCCAAGCTTTACACACCCTCCAGCAGAATGGATCCCCCCAGACAACCTCCTAACTTCAACAGGCTTTTTTCGTTGGTGTTTTTTAATGTTTTAATTTTTTCTCATATATTTTCCTCAGGTTATTATCTAGTAACACAGATTCTCCTTTCCATTCACTTGTCCAGTTCATTTTCCAGAACTGAGCAACGTTTATTGACTGTTTCAAGATCACAAAAGCCAGTCAGAAGTGGAACTGAGCTAACAGAGCTCCTGGGCTCTGGCTCTGCTCAATTGGCTACAAGAGTCTATTTCCATAGCTATGGATCTTTCCTTCACTCTACAATAAATTATAAACTTACAAATAAGGATGAAATGTAAGGAAGAGCTCAATAAAGGTGGCAGCTGTTAATAATGACCTCTCGCACAACGCATCCACTTGGTGAAGCAGTTGTCATTCTTTGATACTAATATTTCTCCTGTGAAAACAGGAGAAAAATATCAAGAGGAAATCTGTACATTCTTTTTTTTTTTTCCAAATACAGGCACAAACAAAAGATTTTATGGGATTCCATCTTCACATTTTTTTATTCTTCTTTGTAACATCACATTTTCATTACTTCCTCTAACACAAATTTCATTCAAAAATTAAAAAAAAAAATCAAACAAACAAAAAATCAACACACTGACCAGCAGCCACTGACAGATAAAAGTAGCAGGCAGAGGGTGGTGGAGCACTGGAACAGGCTCCCCAGGGAGGTGCTCATGGCACCAAGCCTGGCAAGATTCCAGCAGCATTTGGCCAAGGCCCTCAGGGACATGGTGTGAATGTTGGGATTGTCCTGTGCAGGGACAGGAGTTGGACTGGATGATCCTTGTGGGTCCTTCCAGCTCACAGCATTCTGTGAACTCAGAAAGTCTCCGGCTCCTGCACTTCACTTCTGCTGTATAAACAGTTCAATCCTTCACCATCCATTTTAGCATTATGTAGGGGACTGAAAATATTGAATAAGAGTGGTCTAATTCAGAAAAAAAGTCAAGAGACATTAGGATAAATCAGTAACTTCTTTCCTTGTAAACATCTCCCTGCTGAGAAACATAATTGTCTAAGAGTTGCAGGTAATCTGTTCAAAAACACTGCTGGTCTATCAACTATTAAATACCCCAGAACAGCATCTAAAATGAAATCAAAGATTTTCATACTTAGAGGAAAGTTTCTATAAAGAAACTCATTCAGCCCACCTTTGCAACTAGACATACTCTTGCTCAGTTTTTCATCACAGAAATTGTACCAAATTCATTTGCAACCAAGAGCCAAAATAAAGCCAGTAACTTCTTCACAACAAATCTCTTCATGAAGCAGCTGTGCTACGGTCAGTAGCTGTGAATGAAAACCTCTACCACCAAAGCAAGACCTTTCAGCCTTTGCTTTCAGACAAGAAGATTAAAAAAACAATAATCCTAGAAGGCAGGTTGGCTACAAACAGAATGAAGCTCAACTCGATCCCTAGATCCCTCCCAAACTAAGTACCCAACAATTTAAAGAGAATTAAAAAGCTGCTTCTTAGCTTGTGTTTCCTCCTTTGTTCTGCTGCACATTGACTCCCTGTAACTCCCAGCTGTTAATTAACGGCCATTATCTGTCAAATATTCGTAACAGTGTTAAATACATCTTAAATCCAACCAAGTGAGCATGTATTAGAAATGCTTTCAGGTCTCAGAACACCACCTGACAGCACCCTGCTTGTGTGATTAGATGAGAACAGTGTAGAGACAATTTCCAATGTTACTAAAAACATTCACATGGTGTTTTGAAGACACAGGGGTTTTTTTGCAATTGTGTTACCTTCTTTGCTCCACGGATTAGGGAAATGAGCAGAGTTAAGAGATCTGCTGACAGACAAGAGTTGTTGGTTCCTGATTATTGTTCAGGGTGCATTTTACACCACAGTAAGATACCGACACATTCACAAGCAACACAGAACATAGTTCTTCAGATAACCACAGGTCAAGGACTTTCTTGTGGATGTAATTCAGCAGCAACAAGTGGGCTACAGTGTGTGTCGGGGGAGAAATTGCATTTGTAGAGTAACACTGATATATCAGCCTTGAAACAGGTGTTGGGATGACAGCAAGCTCACAAAACTTTATTAGATGTGTAAAAGACATGACTCCACATGGGTACACGGGACTAAAACCCTCTGGCTTGAGGGGGACAAATCTCCCAAGCCTGCATTGGATTTGGGAAAACACAGAGACCACAGAGTGAGCTGCAGCCCACAAACACCTACCCTTTCTTTTGGGCTGCACACAATTACACAGACACATCATGATGAACACAATGACTAGACTGGGTAGACATGATGCCCTACTGCCACTGGTTTTACCCCACGAATTGAACATGTCCACACAGAAAGCGAGAGACAGGCAGGAATCACAGTCCGGGATAACCACGGTCCTGAAGAATTGACCCCCAGGGGCTGGAGGGAAACTGAACCCTCTCATCCATCTCCCCACGGGGCATTTCCCCGGCCCCAGAAGGACTCTCCACACTCACCCATCCACCTCCTCGGGGTCCCCCAGGGTCCCTTCCCTCCTGGCAGGGCAGAGGCCTGGGCCGGCCGCCGCCCCCAGCGTG